CCCCAAAACCCCAAAACCCCATGATATAGTATCTCTAGTATTTAATAATTTTAAAAATCTAAACATTTAATCTAATAATCCTTAACTCAATCCTAACTCGGATTTTCTTTCAAATATCTAGGGACTGTCTCTCCAAGGCTAATAACTTGACGGCCTATATCTTTGTAAAAAGGAGTCATAATAAACCCTGGAAGATTGCCTCTCAACTCAATGTCTAATATATAAGTCACCTTAGTCCTCTAAGGAGACACATATTCGAATTTCCATCCAGATAAATGAAGCCAAACTCTTATTGCATTCTTAACAGTTGGCTATAAATCATCTCTGTCTATAGAATAGTTAATAATTGTCACACTGCCATCTGGATACCTTTCTCTATGATTAATAAAAACAATATCTCTGGCAGACACAACAGCAACCTTTTTAGTTCTCAAGTATCTAATTTTAGTTTATTCAGGTACTATTGACTCCAATAAACTTGCGAAATCAAATCCAGGGTCATAATAAATACGATATCTATCATCGTTAAAACAGTTAACGATATCGTTGACTGAATGATCTATATAACCCAGAGCCTTCATGCATTTAACTCCTCTCTAAGTATTTCTTTGCCAAATAATGAAATCTTTTGATTTTTCCTCAACTGATATAGCCCAATCTTTATGATTGATATAATCTTCAAACTCTAATAATTTTTATTATGCTTATTCTACATATTCTAAAACAAATTACTTTTATCAATTATAACTTACTCTAGTTTTAATCTGACAACACTATCTTTTAGTCTATATCTTCCTCCTCAGGCTCAATCTCATAAGCATCTTATCTAAGAGAGAGAGGCTCTTCCTAGAAGTTAGATCCTCTTGATTCTTAAACTTTAGTTAAAACTTTCTTCTCCATCAATTCTAGCTCTAGAAATAGTTTAAAACAAGCAAAAGCTAAATTTAAGCTTACTTTTTTTCTTTTATTATTATAAAATTTATTTCTTTTATACTTCATCACTTTTTATTCTCTTAATAACTGGGGTTATTTTATTTTTGCCTAGCTAGTTCTCTGTTAACTCTTATATTGCTAAATTGACAAACTTATCTGAATTTTATATCAACACTTTTTAAAAATCTATCGGAAACTTTTGTTCTTAATTATTCAAGATGATTTTTCCCTTATCATTTATATCTCTATATAATATTTTAAGCGAGCTATTTAGGTAAATTTAAATAAAGTAAATTCAAGTTACCTTGACAAGAATAAAGTAAACTGTAAGTGCTCATAGAATTTTACAATTTCTAGTATTTTAAATTAATAAGTGAATTGGGCAAGTATCTCATTTTCATTAAGAATGGATGATTATGTTTCTTGGAGAAGCAAAATTCCATGTTTATTAGAAATAATACCAAATTGAACTTTAACTTATTTTGGCAAAGATTTAATTACTCGCTTATCATATATGAAATTAAAGTCAGTGTCTGAAATTTTTATGGTTGATTATAATTCAGGCTCCCAAAGCTTTCTTGTCTATAGATCTGTGAGTATCTTAGTGAGTTAGAACAAATTTTCAACATTATACCTTATAATACAATTTACACTCATACCTTGAATTGGTTTTATTTTAAATTGATAAGTGCAGATCTAAATATCATTCTTATTTTCAATTATCTCACTATTTATTGCCATAACCCCAATAGATAGTATTTCTAATTCCAAAA